CTTATAAAACGTGCTGGCAAGAGTCCCTTTTAATACGTAACTCTGCAGTCTGTGCATGCACTTGAAAGGTCTAAATACATGACAGGCGATGAGGCTTAAATTTATAGGTCTACGTTATGAATGATTTAATAAGAAATCAACCCTCTATTTGATTTTACCAAGTTAACAAAATACATTTGAGAGAGATTTCTCACGTGCTCTTCCTCCTCATCCTCTTCTTCCTACAAAACTGCTCCAGTAGCCTATAGTCTGTATCATGGCAGCCACATATATGATCGCAATTGTAAATGCATTGGATCTGTTAAGTTGTCAGCCAAAACAGCAATAACTGCAGGGTCCCTTAAAATGACCCAAAATGCGTGCTTTCCCGTTATATTTTGTTATTGTCTCCATGTTTTTGAGCTATGTTGTATTTCTTACTCATTTTCTGAAAATATTTCTGGAAAAAAAAAAAAAAATCTTACCAAATCTCAAATTATTTTTTATTATATTCAGAATTGTCTACTTTGATTATGACTTTGATGTTTGGCGGTATTTTCACGATAGCTATATTATTGGGTCAAGGTGACAGTTCTGGGCATACTGGGGAAATTTGCGGCCATAGTTCAACACCTTTGTATCTGACAGCTGTAGACACGATAAATAAGTTCATATTCTACCCTAATACGAACGATCTAGTTCAGGAAACATAGGTTATTCCATACGTTAATCCGTCGACTTTTTATAGCTTTTGTGACAGTAGCCTGTGTTGAGCGATTTAAAGGTTTTCGTCCTATGGTTTCTTCTAGACAAATTCCCAGCGTCACCATTAATTAAAATGAGGTGATTCTACAAATAACAACATAAATGCATTTTTTGCAATACTGATGCATTCACCTGAAGTCAATAATAACGGTACCAAAAAGTTTCCATCATATTATCGTTAAGGTGACGCATTAACCATATGGCCTATAGCAATGGATTTTGACACGTTTTTTGCATCTGCACAGAAATGAGAATAGACTTTTAAATGCGGATGAAAAAGCCAAAAAAAAGTAGGCAATGCTGTTAGATTTGTCAATGAAGTGGCCCTTTGAGGCAGCATAGTAATGCAGAACGCCATAACCAGGATAAGGTAAGCCCTGACTCTCTCGCTACAGGATCGATAAAGTCTCAGCAGTGTCACCGCTGCTGTTACCCGTGTTTTTACCTTTGATCCATTGATATTTGTGTGTTTAGTGAAGGGGCTGGGAGGGATTCAAGCCAAGTTACAGGAGCTGTACAACACAATGCACTTGACCAAGGCTACAAAAATGAATTCAATAAAATTCTCGTCGCACGTTGTGTCATACTAAGAAGTTGTGACTAAATTTACTCAAGTAAATTTCTCCAGACCAGCATCAGTGTAAGAATGGAAACTCTCAGGGCTTTCCTTCGTTAATAATAAAAAGAGAATCTAAGATGATATTTAATTTGTAACGTAAACTATTTGAAGGGTGATTATTTTATAATTGCTCATTAGTCTTGTATATTTATCGCTGTACCTTATGGCAAGGCCGCGGGAGTTGTGAGGGGGGTTCATTCTCCCATTACAAGGATCAGTTTCAAAAGCAATTTGTGAAACTGGATAGATTGTGTTTGTCATGACGTCACATTTCAGTCCATGCTATATAAATATCACCTCAAACCAGCTTCAGTGGCCAGTTGCAACTGGAAACGCAGAGTAGGCCTATATAAAGCAGAAGCCTGCAAATAACTTCGGAACGTGCAGGACCTTCAATCAAAAGACATCTATTATGTTTTTGCCAACTGTCAATAAATTGAAGTGGAACTGAGGACAGTCTGCACTTTAATCTCCATCACACTTTTAAAAAATTTTTAAGGGTAATCTTACATCAGTATGGTGCAATACGTTGCTATAATGCAGGTTGGTATAGCAGGCATAACTTTATTTTGCACACGAGTCCAGACCGTCCAGCGTACTGTAAAACTGCCTTTTAGTAGGATCAGCGGACGTAATTAAAGCTAGTAATTGCAGATTAGAGGTTTTGGGTCATTGGGGTTATTTGATAGGAGGCTGTTTTAAATGACGGGTAATTATTTAACATCACACGTATGGCGCAGGTTTTTCACCTGGGTTTAAAACCCAGACCTCAATTTTAGAAACCACTGCAAGCATTTGGAAGCTACACCAACTTTTTTTCCTCACTGTATGATGAATCATGGCAATGGCCCTCTGTGATTGATCGTTTTCCCTCTGCATAAGCGTGGCGTTGTTGAACGTTTAAGTTAATGTTGCTTCTGAAACAAGTTATCGCAGCACGGGGTAACCTAGCGGGTCAGAAGGTTCTCAATACAGCGAGTCCCATGGCCCGTATGCTTGTTTAGAAAAGCAAATCGATTAATGGGCATAGTCTATACAAGGTCGAAGTTATAGTCCACTGCTCACTGTTTGCGAAAATGACATTTTTGGGTGGATAGAGATTGTATCTTTCGACAATATTTGAATAATTTAAACACACGAGTTTATCATAATGTTAATAATTAGTACGTTCCATAATTAAATGAAACACATGCTTTAAAATAAGGCTATAAGAAATAGAAAATATTGCATTAGGTAGCCTACTTCGGTTCTCTAATGCCCTTGCATTTTTGCTCTTTATTTGACACCGTAACTGGGCCTTTAAAATTAATTTAATCTTCTCAACTCAAATAACGTTAACAAATAATAAAACGTTTCTAAGCCTGTTCTGTTTGGCGAAATATAATTTTAAAAATCGGCAATGCAAAATTAATAAAGGGGAGCGAGCGGTAACGAGGGGGTGTCCTGTCTTTTGAGGCACAACGGAGGGAGAAAGTGCGCCAAATTTGTTTGCAGCGGATCAAGGCTCACCGCCTTCACTGCACTTTCTTTATCTTAATTCCAACTTGAAAAGATATAATTATCTAGTTTGAACAGGGCTGCTATCAAATCCTTCTTTAGGCAGGGTAGGGAACAGCTCGAGTGGATTGTGGGCTCTGAGCCGCTCGGTGTTGCCCGAGATAGGAGTAATGAAGTTGTGGAGTCCGGAGATACAAAGGGCATTAACCTCATTAGCATGAAACCTTTTCTTCTAACTATTGTGGGACCCTTTCAGCCTTCTAATCCCTCTATTTCAAAGCTGGGTTTGTAATAAAGCTTTTAGGGGTTTTTCAAAGCTAATAGTATTCTCCGCAGATTTTTTTTATTACCGTTATAGGCCTAGTCCACATACTGTTCAAAAATCCCTTTATATAGCCTAGTATGTGTATGTATAGCCTAATGAAAATTTTAGCCTTTATCAAACTACGATTAAAAGTTTTGGGGACAACACGAAAACGCTCAGCACGGTCTTTCTTGGCATTTCGGAATATTTCGTCACGTTAGCTAAATAAAATAGCTAATAGCCTACTACTTATTTCATGCAATTTTATTTTTTAAACGACGATTAGGCTATTTTGGGATAATGTTTTAAATGGATGAAAAATACAAGTTAATAGATGAATTGACGTTTTTCACATAGCCTACAAATATAGAATTCATATTTGCATTCTATAGCCTATTATTCATAGTAGGCTAGTATAATAAAAACAAGAACGGGGAACGAAAGGCTAGATACATTCCAGCCGTTGCTGCCGACAAGATTTTAAACAAAGCTCCTATTTTGCGGCACATTGCAAACCTTCTCTTATCACGTTGTGAGAGGTAGTCAGATTGTACTAAATTATGTCCAACCAGGCCCCCTTGGATCCACGGATTAACAGATTAAAGTGGACCACTGTTCAATGCATCCCCTTTCCCCCACATATTACTCGTATGATAATTGCCTAAACTGATTTGCACTTTCACAAAAGCTCGCAGGACTCTTTGTAGCTTGAACAGACCAGACGCTGCTCTTCTACCAATGGAAATAAAACTGGTTAATGCCAGTCTATCAGACTGAGCGGCAAATGAGGCAAGAAAAAAACAAGCACTTCGCTGTGGAAAAATCGAGCTCAAGACCGTTGTAAGCATTCTATTTGTGTTACATTTTAACCAGTCCATTTCCCCGTTACATTCTTTATACGCTCAGATTAATTAGACAGCTGGTGGAATATTCCATTGATAAAATAGTGATAATTACGATACCTCGCCTGTTTGTCCTGAAGGACAATGACCAAGGGACCGAATCGAAAGAACACAACTGCCAGTGCAACCCATACAATACTGTCCAATAATAATTTTCTAAAAAAGGATGCATCCTAAACCATTCACTATACCGGACAAAAGTTTCATTTTGGCCTCTTTTTGTAAAACAAAAAGGCTGTAATTTTATTCTGAGCAACATATTGATAAAACTTTATTGACAAAATATTGACAATTACATACTTCTTGGAAGTATACTTTGTGTTAAAATTGTAGCAAACTTAACACAAACACAAAATTATTTACATTCTTGTAAAAGACGATTTAACATAAACATTAGCTTTTAGTATCTCTATACATGGAATACGCTCAGTGCTTGAAGTTTTGCTGCCTAGGCGGCCGTCAATTCTTGCATTAATCCTTCGAGGCAACTCTTTAGAGGAGGGGCGAGTCCCGATCATATATTCGCACCAAGATTACGGAGTCATGGTAAAGCTTAATTTTTAAGGAATGTCATGGAGAATTTTTTCATTAGATTTACTTTTGTATGTGGTAAACTTGATCTGTTTTTTAATTTGTCTTACTTTAAAAAAAAAAAAACACTATAACGCAGCACTGCTACTTCATATTGTTTTCACAATCACTTTAACACGAGAATCATAAATTCAAAGACTGCACACTGTTGTAAAAAAAGGAAGAAGCACACAACATTTCTCAGATTAAAAATAGAATCAAAACAAATTTACTTTGAAAAAAGAAGTTCAAATTAATGAATTAACCTACCAAAAAAATCATTGCTCTACCATGCAATTCAAGTTTGACAAAAACAGTTGTATATTTTGGTATCTTGATGTGGAAGGTTCACGTATTGAAAAAATAAAACGAGAGGAAAAAAACCTCAGAAGTGCAAATGTCCTAGCGCATTTCAGCTATATTTTGTGATAGTTGTGACGAGGTCGAGCGGGTAAGTGTGGTGATGGGGGGCGGGGGGCTGCATGTAATACCTGTCAATCACCTTGCCTTGGCAACGTGAAAATTATTGACAGTTCCCTTGTAGTGACAGCAGTGCCACCAACAGGATCTCTCACCCTCAAGCTGCCGATCTCGAAGAATCAAAATGTGATATTGGCTTTACCCTCTCCCTCTGTCAGTACACAGCATCCTTATCCGTGACATCATTCAAGCCACGCCGCTGTCCCGGGTTCAAACAGTTTAAGTCTTTTAATCGTCTGAGGTGACGTCAATTTCCTCAGGGCTTCCTTGTTTTGTGGCCACTCTCCATCGGTTTATGTGATGAGTTCCTTTCTTTTTCTGTTGTGAATCCGAACCTTCCTCCTCCAGTTTCTGGCGCTTGAACTTCGTCCTTCTATTCTGAAACCAAACTTTAACCTGTGGCGAGGAAAAATGAAAATAATCAGCGTAAAATACACAAAGGCTTTTCGTTGGCCTCTGAATAAAACAATTAAACAAAGAGAGTTGGCCTAACAGAAGGTATCACTAACGGGCCTTAAAGAATAACTAGGGCTAGACGGACAAAGAACCGCCAGGTATCTCACAATCAATCTAGTCGCGAGACCACTGGTCGACTTTCATTTAGTGTCTTCGGTCTGCATAAATTAAAACAACAAAGAATTTAAATGAGGTATTAAATACATATTACTGATAAGTGAGGATGAAATTAGGGAAGGGGAGACTGGCTGGCGTGGCTTTCCATTTAAAGTGCACCTGACCCGTTTACGAACGACAGGTTGCATCATCACTATCATGCCCTGCTGCTGCTTCAAACTCAAACTGAACTGTTGAGCGGACATTGACTCAGTACAATAGAAGCAGCATGTGAGTGTATAATAGTTTGATACCAGTGTAACTTCACCGACATTGTCGCTTATTATCACGGATCACTGTGTTAGCTGGCCTATTTACAATTCACCCCCACATTATTACATCCCCGTATAAAACCTTTTCTATTAGCACACATTGGTAAAGTTAAGTCTTTAGCTTAATTCATCACCTTTATCATTCATATCATCCGTAAAGCTCACAGCTGACAACTTGGCAAGTGAGGCACATGCAATGTTCTTTCAGAGAGCTAATAGAAGCATTGAAGTGGCTCGTAGTCCATTTCTCTCTCTTGCTCTTCTGAAAGGCGGCGTTTAGAAAAGGGCCGGTGCTGTCACCGGGACAATAGACTCCGACCAGGCCACTGAACGATACGCGCAAATACGATCTTAAATATGGTTAGGGAAATTCACTGATTCCGCCTCATTCTTTTAAGTGTCCATTTAAAACGGTTAACTGGTTAATTGTCAAAATTTTGCACAAGAGCCCTCTGCCTAAAAAGGAATTGCTCAACCTCACCAAAAATCGGGGTGAATTGGAAATGGTGGATTTAACTCACTTCAAACCATTGCGCTTTTAGAACAATGCCCTTTACGCATGGAATTCCCAACAAAACCAAACGCTAAATAGCACAACAACATTTTCTGTTTGAAATCAAAAAGTCGCCACATCTGTGCAAATAATAAATATATTGTGCGAGGCTACTTATGACTAACGCCAATACTCATTGCTACTACATATATGCAAATATGCTATCAAAGAGAACGATTAAACGTTAGAAAATATTTAAATAAAGAATTTAAAATTTAAAAGCTTTTATTGTTTATTAAACCATTCAGAACTGCGTTTTTGTTACGCAAACATTGTCTATGTGTTTATATTTAAGGTGTAGTCTAACCATAATATGTAACCGTTTCAAGGACGAGCCTACTGATTTCAATAGTTATTTAGGTCGTATTATATCCACAGAACCATGCGCACATTCACATATGGCTGTACACGCTAATGAAGACAGGTAAACTTCATCTTACCTGAGTTTCTGTGAGGCTAAGGCTGTGAGCGAGCTGTTTTCGTTCCGCGCCGACGACGTAATGATTTTTTTCGAAAGCATGTTCAAGCCGTAGTAGCTGTGATGGTGAAAAAGCTGTACGAATCCTTTTGGGCTTTCTTGCCAGTGCATTGTGCAATAGGAAGCTTTCAGGACACGTTTCGTTTCCTGTAATGAAAATGGTGAAAATTAAAACCCATCGTCTCCCATAAAATAAGCAGCCTATCCTTTATCGGTGTTAGACTTTGTTCAATTTGTTCTCACCTATTAATTGGGCCTTACATTTTAAAACATTATATAGCATGCAACATCTTACTAAAATATAGTCTACAATAATATCACAATTAACCGGTCATGTTAAATAGAAATAGGGCTATATAAAGATATTTTTTTCTATCTTTTTTTATAGTTACTTGACAATAGCGATAATGTTTCCTGTAGCTAAGTAAACTTTTGTTGCCAATTCAAATCTGAGACTAAATAATGTTAATTTACAGGTAATCGTTCAAAATATGATGCCTACAATATTATTTTCCTATATTTGTAAATAAAACACACGGAGATACAACACGGCTATTTTTATTTCACAACTGAAGTGTCTACAAATTAATTCAATGGCTTTGAGTAGCCTATCTTTACCAGTGGTAAATAAAGGTTTTCATTACGAGCATTTCGTTTAGAAACTGGGATGACAAATGTTTTCCTATACTGAATAATATAAAAAAGAGCCATAATTTTTGCTTTAACGTGTGTAATTTAGCTGATAGTGTGATGTATGTAATAATACGATAGTATCACACTTATTAACGTTTATGAATATTAGCGTTCTTTTTTAAGGTCACTTTTACAACATTAAGGACCCAGACAAAGCACTTTCAGATAAATGCGAAATTCGAGAAATTTACCAGAAAAAAAACAGTCGAACGGAAATTAAACTTCTGTTCTATTAATAAATTATTTCGTTGCTCTTAAGTTTTTTTTTTTTCTGGTAATGGGAATGCGTATTATTTGTAATAAAAGTTTTTCATATATATTTGACTACACAACAATCGATTATTATTATGTTGATTCTTTTAAAAGGCGATGTAACACGTTTACGCTAAATAAATATGTAAACCTGTTAAAATAATTAATTTAATATAATAAACATCAAATACAAAAGTTATAAATACTTTACTTATGAGTTTTAAACCAGCTTTGTGTGTAGCTATATAGGCTATATGGTATAATGCCAGGTTCGCTCTTCCAGCAATTTACTGATAACCGTTGTATAATGTCAGTAGTTGTTTTGTGGCCACTCTCCATCGGTTTATGTGATGAGTTCCTTTCTTTTTCTGTTGTGAATCCGAACCTTCCTCCTCCAGTTTCTGACGCTTGAACTTCGTCCTTCGATTCTGAAACCAAACTTTTACCTGTGGCGAGGAAAAATGAAAATAATCAGCGTAAAGTACACAAAGGCTTTTCGTTGGCCTCTGAATAAAACAATTAAACAAAGAGAGTTGGCCTAACAGAAGGTATCACTAACGGGCCTTAAAGAATAACTAGGGCTAGACGGACAAAGAACCGCCAGGTATCTCACAGTCAATCTAGTCGCGAGCGCATTGGTCGACTTTCATTTAGTGTCCTCGGTCGGCATAAATTAAAACAACAAAGAATTTAAATGAGGTAGGTTATTAAATACATATTACTGATAAGTGAGGATGAGATTGGGGAAGGGAAGACTGGCTGGCGTGGCTTTCCTTTTAAAGTGCACCTGACCTGTTTACGAACGACAGGTTGCATCATCACGATCATGCCCTGCTGCTACTTCAAACTCAAACTGAACTGTTGAGCGAGAATGGACTCAGTACAATAGAAGCAGCATGTGAGTGTATAATAGTTTGATACCAGTGTAACTTCACCGACATTGTCGCTTATTATCACGGATCACTGTGTTAGCTGGCCTATTTACAATTCACCCCCACATTATTACATCCCCGTATAAAACCTTTTCTATTAGCACACATTGGTAAAGTTAAGTCTTTAGCTTAATTCATCACCTTTATCATTCATATCATCCGTAAAGCTCACAGCTGACAACTTGGCAAGTGAGGCACATTTAATGTGCTTTCAGAGAGCTAATTGAAGCATTGAAGTGGCTCGTAGTCCATTTCTCTCTCTTGCTCTTCTGAAAGGCGGCGTTTAGAAAAGGGCCGGTGCTGTCACCGGGACAATAGACTCCGACCGGGCCACTGAACGATACGCGCAAATACGATCTTAAATATGGTTAGGGAAATTCATAGAATCCGCCTCATTATTTTAAGTGTCCATTTAAAACGGTTAACTGGTTAATTGTCAAAATTTTGCACAAGAGCCCTCTGCCTAAAAAGGAATTGCTCAACCTCACCAAAAATCGGGGTGAATTGGAAATGGTGGATTTAACTCACTTCAAACCATTGCGCTTTTAGAACAATGCCCTTTACGCATGGAATTCCCAACAAAACCAAACGCTAACTAGCACAACAACATTTTCTGTTTGAAATCAAAAAGTCGCCACATCTGTGCAAATAATAAATATATTGTGCGAGGCTACTTATGACTAACGCCAATACTCATTGCTACTACATATATGCAAATATGCTATCAAAGAGAACGATTAAACGTTAGAAAATATTTAAATAAAGAATTTAAAATTTAAAAGCTTTTATTGTTTATTAAACCATTCAGAACTGCGTTTTTGTTACGCAAACATTGTCTATGTGTTTATATTTAAGGTGTAGTCTAACCATAATATGTAACCGTTTCAAGGACGAGCCTACTGATTTCAATAGTTATTTAGGTCGTATTATATCCACAGAACCATGCGCACATTCACATATGGCTGTACACGCTAATGAAGACAGGTAAACTTCATCTTACCTGAGTTTCTGTGAGGCTAAGGCTGTGAGCGAGCTGTTTTCGTTCCGCGCCGACGACGTAATGATTTTTTTCGAAAGCATGTTCAAGCCGTAGTAGCTGTGATGGTGAAAAAGCTGTACGAATCCTTTTGGGCTTTCTTGCCAGTGCATTGTGCAATAGGAAGCTTTCAGGACACGTTTCGTTTCCTGTAATGAAAATGGTGAAAATTAAAACCCATCGTCTCCCATAAAATAAGCAGCCTATCCTTTATCGGTGTTAGACTTTGTTCAATTTGTTCTCACCTATTAATTGGGCCTTACATTTTAAAACATTATATAGCATGCAACATCTTACTAAAATATAGTCTACAATAATATCACAATTAACCGGTCATGTTAAATAGAAATAGGGCTATATAAAGATATTTTTTTCTATCTTTTTTTATAGTTACTTGACAATAGCGATAATGTTTCCTGTAGCTAAGTAAACTTTTGTTGCCAATTCAAATCTGAGACTAAATAATGTTAATTTACAGGTAATCGTTCAAAATATGATGCCTACAATATTATTTTCCTATATTTGTAAATAAAACACACGGAGATACAACACGGCTATTTTTATTTCACAACTGAAGTGTCTACAAATTAATTCAATGGCTTTGAGTAGCCTATCTTTACCAGTGGTAAATAAAGGTTTTCATTACGAGCATTTCGTTTAGAAACTGGGATGACAAATGTTTTCCTATACTGAATAATATAAAAAAGAGCCATAATTTTTGCTTTAACGTGTGTAATTTAGCTGATAGTGTGATGTATGTAATAATACGATAGTATCACACTTATTAACGTTTATGAATATTAGCGTTCTTTTTTAAGGTCACTTTTACAACATTAAGGACCCAGACAAAGCACTTTCAGATAAATGCGAAATTCGAGAAATTTACCAGAAAAAAAACAGTCGAACGGAAATTAAACTTCTGTTCTATTAATAAATTATTTCGTTGCTCTTAAGTTTTTTTTTTTTCTGGTAATGGGAATGCGTATTATTTGTAATAAAAGTTTTTCATATATATTTGACTACACAACAATCGATTATTATTATGTTGATTCTTTTAAAAGGCGATGTAACACGTTTACGCTAAATAAATATGTAAACCTGTTAAAATAATTAATTTAATATAATAAACATCAAATACAAAAGTTATAAATACTTTACTTATGAGTTTTAAACCAGTTTTGTGTGTAGCTATATAGGCTATATGGTATAATGCCAGGTTCGCTCTTCCAGCAATTTACTGATAACCGTTGTATAATGTCAGTAGGCTAATTCACAGCATTAGCCTATTATTTCGATACAATAAAATGATTATAAACTTTTTTTCGATAGCATTAATTTCAGCATTTTTAATATCTAGCACAAAAGTGGCATTTAGCTAATTATCAATGAAACACTGCCGTGTCCTTGGGCCGTGTGCCCTTTTTTTTTTCTCTGGACGACTGGTCAAAATAACTGGCGAATAAAATATTTTGCTGGAACTTACCTTGAAATCTGTGACCCAAGTATCTATATCTATGTATCAACCACGGGTAAAAAGTTGAAGGGTCCCTTTGCTGGCTTGCGAAAAGAGGGTGCGGACTGTGCGAGGACGACAGTGGGTGAGCAGCCAAAGCGTGAGGAGGTGGTACTGAATGGACTGGGACGGCGCAGTTGGGAGGATGTGAAACAGCCTCAGCGAACACCAAGTCCGGGTTTGAGTAGACGCCCCTGCCGCTGGAATGAAAGCCGTTTAAAAATGGGTTCATCTGGCTTGAGTTTGCATAGCTGAGAGCCGCTGGTCGTATGGGCTCCTCGGATCTCGACGCTGGCAAAGGATTATCCTTCGCTACCAAAGACTCTATGGTAAAACACCTCTTCGGTGTGGGCTGAAACATGGTTCACCAGTCAAGATTCCCCAGTTTAAGTGAAAATGGTACACGCGTTAGCACTAAAAAATACTCCACACCCAAGACCAAAGTTTTGTCAGCAAGTTAGTGGCGGCTAAAGAAAGGGTAAAAAATCTGTCAAAAGCGCACAGCTCAACGCATCGTGAGAGAGGTGGCCGACTTCTCCAGACAATCCATGAATGTGATCGGTTCCTCACCAGTTGTGCTAGCGATTTGTTAGTTCATGAGCCTAATTAGCTCTGGAGTCACATAAACAGTTTCCTCTGAAGCCTGTAATGGCTTGGTGATTGGTCGCTGCCGCTCGCCTTAAGGTTGAGGGAAGAGTCTTTAAGTGCGTCAATACGAACGAGCACGGAGAGGCGGATTCAAGCAAAACGGAACGGATTCGCCCAGAAACAGAGCTGTGGAGCAATTTACATACGCAGCTGATCCCATTGCGAGACTCAAGGTACTTCAGCATGTATTTGTGTTGCACACAGGGCATAACGACGCGTTTACACGCAGTTACTACAGCACCTCAGTGCTTAATCACTGCACGTTTAGATGTAGGCTATAACTACACATGCTGATTTGTACTCGACAACAAAAGTACAATTTCAGAGTGTCGTTTAAAAAAAAAGACAGTAATCAGTGAAATACTGTCAGGAAATAATCAGTTTAAATGACAATCTCTGTGTATCAAACTTTTGAAGGTTCTCCTTTTCTGGATGTTCGGTGCGCCTGCTTAACGCCCAACTCTGTATTGTCTCTCCACGTTTTCATTTTCTCCGATGGGTTTGTGATTAGTTTAGGGATGAGAGACTCCCTTTCTCTATTGGCCACGAGACAAGGATGAGGCTTATTAGACACAGACAATATTTTCAGCTCTGTTTGTTTGTCGTATGACTACAAGAGTCTATTACCCTCTAACTACTACATTAAATTAGCTGAGTTCAATCCCATTATGGGTTACTAATGTGCATACTGCATCTCAAAAGTTCAGGTATGCACAGTTGTCAATGCGATCTCTTGGGTTTTAGTGTCTGAATTTGCAGGGTGTGAGGTAGTTCGGTGATAGGCTATGTTTAAAAGGTTTTATATTATTTTTACTTTTACATACTTTCAGATTCATCTCATACAGCACTACAATTCCTTAACATACACCACGCAATTATTGGTTGCAAATGAAGACAATTTTGTCGGACATGTAGCCTACAAATAAAAATGGAAACTGCAGAAATTTTAGCAAATTTCCACCATTAAATATATTAGTAAAATACATACATAAATCAATTCATAAAATCTATTATTCTAATTTGTGCATGAGACACAAGCACGCGTTTTATGTCATTTTAAAATTCAAGTGTGTTTTATGGCACTGCAGTGAACGCTTATGTGCAACATGAGGAAAAAGAATTGAAATGTTTACAAAATAGGTCCACATTTATTACGTTCATTGTTCACTTGAATAATTTTGCCCATAGCTCTCAATATATATCTCAATATATCAGCTGTTGGTTTAACGTACAAACGCAGCATGACAATAGGTATAGGCTAAGTGGTGTACATTATTCAGTTGCATACTGTATTGCATTAAACGGAGGAATTCGTTTTAGATAATATCCTTTCCATTAGCTTTTCTTGTGTTAACGCGAAGTGAGTTATACAGTCTTTAATTATTATTATGATTATTATTATTATTATAAAATCAGAATATATAAAGGCATATTTATTATTATTATTATGTCGGTCTATTTTGATTGCGTCTAAATGAATAGAAATACACTGTAGTAAAAACGGACTATCGGATTCAAATACTAGTCTACTTGTGTTGTTTCTATAAACCTGCCACAACCCTTGCTCAGATATTCAAGTGATTTCTTGATTCCAGAAATAATCCTGTTTTTTTATGCGTATGACAGACATACATTAACGATTATCAATTCAATATTTAATTTGTACGAGGCTGTTTCTTGTATGTGGAGTTAAGGTCACTCAGTTTTTGCTCGTCTGCTCTTCCGTGCGGTAAATGCCTCGAAGTAGGCTACTTTACATTCTAAATAGCCTATTTGTGATCGCGCTTTTGGTAGCCTAAACTTTTTGACTTAAAATAGCTGCTGTGTACCCCACACTTTTTCTTTAACTTCCATTTTTTTCGTCCACATATAAACAAGACACTAGGCTACATTTCGTTTTTTAGGCTATATGAAGTAATCGTTTGGTGAAACGAAATAAACCACTCTTTTTTTTTTTTTTTTTTTAAAGGGAACAAAATAAATAAGTCATTTTTACACTTGTCTGACTTTTGTGCATTTGCTAAATAAGGCAGATGCTATTAAAATCATAGAGATATTTTGGATTATTATTTTTGATCTAAAGAACAAAATATGGAGCACACTGAGGATCTGCTGCTCTTCGAAGGGGGTCAGAGTGCTCGTCGATCTGCGCATTGAAGTGTAAGGATAGTGCGACACCAACTGGTACTTTTACAAAATGCACTTTCCGCCAATTCCTGGACGTGCACAGGAATGAAAAGCACGATTACTGTTTGGCTGTCTACATTGCTAATTACTTTTAAAATGACTGTACAGCACATTTACTGTTAGGGCATGTTTGTTACGTTTTTCGGTGTCATTCGACATCGACATTTATGGTCTTAAGACTTAAACATTTATGGTCCATGATACCACCTGCAGTTAAGTGATATTTCTATAGTCTCCCGTGGACAAAGAATGACGAGCTCATGACAAGCTTTGTCTGTATGACGAAAATATTAAAATCCCGCCATTAACATCACTTGATAAACTCAACCCGCAGTGTAATGTAAACATTTGCATCACTTTGCGGACCCACAAACTAAACACATAAATAGATAGACTGCGAAATGTTAATACAAGCCCAAGAAACAACAACATCAATAATAATAAATGATCAGTTCGTTAACTTTAGGCTACAGGTCTCACGATTTTCACTTTTCATGTTTACGGGGTTAGCCTATATTTTTTCAATTGATAACTGTCTCGAAATTAAGGTTTCAAAATAATAATTTGTTATCAGTGCAGTAGCCTACATCGTTCATTTGCACAAGCTATCAAAAGCACTAACACTTGATCGATACAAGCATATCGGTTTAGTCTCCAAAGTGATTTTTCTTCGGTGTAAAAATTAAAAGACAAAAGGGTTTAAAAGTCGCCGGTGACGTAGTCCTGGAATCAGAAGACAAAAGCGCATTGAGCTTTATTCAACTATTTATTTTATCCATCCTTCAAAAAACGTGTCGGATAGCCTACGCAATAATTAAGTGGATGGCTTTTGAAAAGATGTTATGAAATGTAACTGACGCCCATGAACAGCTTTTCGAAGAGCTTTGCAATAGAAATGTCAACTGAATTATGTTATATCGTCAAACTGCAGGATTCACAATCATGTATTCAGTGTGCAAGGCCTATCAATTTCAATACAAGAAATTACCTTTCAAAGCTGTTCTTTTCACTCCACGCAATAACTTGCAAGCACAAAGGCTTTGCGCAGACCTATCGAAAGGAATTATTCTGGTATTTATAAAAGTCTTTCTGCTAGTATGCCAGCATACTGACAAAACAATACGCAGTTTTTGTTTTTCTAATTAGGCCTATTTGCATTTTGCTTTTGAATTCAGTAATTGTATTCCCACTTAAAGCGCAATAATTGTAGGCTATGAGCCAGCCCATAGGAAACTAATTCAGAAATTGCACTTGTTGCTTCAAATTAACATTTAGTTCAGTAGCCTATTCTATTAAATATAACACAATAAGTTTGTCTGAATTACGAAAACATTCGAATCCCGCCATGAAATTCGATTGCTTAAACTTAAACAAATTAACAGCCTAAGAAATATGAGGTATGTTTTAGTCGTTCTCATCTAAGAATGTCCAAGTCGACGAAGCATTTGACTTATCAGTTTTAATATATTTCTTACACCACATGTGTAAAAAACACACACATAGGCTACAAGCCATTCAAAATCATGTCGTAAAGTATTACGTACAGTGCAACTTAAGACTTTACAAGAAACCATCACACTGTTCAACATTTTTGCTTTAATGTTCGTTGTCCTAACATCCCAGTTTTGAACGCCGTAGCGTCCGTAATTTTTATTTAGTTTGCTGCTATAATTAGTTAGTCAAAACTCTACTGGTGCACCACAGACACTCGTCGCCACCGGCAACGAAACGTGCTGCCTATCAGATTGCGCTACCAAAAATATATTTACTTTGTTTTAAGGGTACGGGTAGGTGTGGGCGGGTATAGCGTAGGGGTAGGTATGGACATAAAAAAAAAGCCTCAAACCACATGAATAAGATGCTGGTAGCACAATCTGATAGGTATAATTTTTCGCTATCGATTTGTGCTACCTATCTTTTTTACGGGAGGTAGCACAATCTGAGGTGGTAGCACAAATCCTCAGAACACCGGATAATAATAACACTTGCTGCAGCAGTATGTTCGAGAAGAATTAGGCAATTAACAATTAGGCTACATTTATATCTGCAAGACTAAATTTATCAAATGTTTATAAACCAGGTATAAAACATTATTTCGAAATTAGAGTTGATAAATTCCAGTTAATTGACTGGACTAGACCGAAATATAGGACAACTGGGTGGCAGATGCACAGATTAAGCGATACGTGCCGTTTAAAGGCATATATCCCATATTCACAAGCAGCATCCCTCCAGCTCGAGGTCGGCGTTTACTCACGGTGACCCGTGGTCAAACTTCACAAAGTAGGTCTTAGCAAATATAGGGGTCTAATCTAGCTTGGGAGTTCATAACCTCTTGCGTGGGAATTTGAGGCTCCAGTTGCGGGATTATTGGTCTTAATTGTGGATTTTCCACTAGAATGCAACAAAGACGGTTGACATAATTGTTTTTCTTCTAGTCTTTTCTGCATAATGATATAATGCAAGCAAAAGTTTATCACCCTCGCAGCGGGAAGAATCACGATTCAGAGAAGCCATTGCATGAAACTAAGAACTCGCATTGATGAGGTTTACCGAGGATTACCTCTTATCAACGTGTGCGTGTGGTCCTCCTACCTACCCCAGTTAGTTTAACCAAGAGCCAGTAAGTCTTTAGAAAAAGGCGTCGTACCACCTAAAACTTCCCTGAAAGAAATCCTAATCGAGTTTGAAACTGGATTATGCCATTGTTATTATTTTCTTGTAGAGATAAAATCTCGCTATAATGAAATGGCGGTATTGTTGTTAGAATTATCTGCATTTTTATTGTCATATTTGCCACCAAAGGGGGGGGGGGGGG